TTAATATGTTTATCTTTTACAGGTTTTACTATAATATTATTGGGATCCTCCAGCATGGCGCATAAGTGTGCATCTTTTATATTAAACCTTTCAATGATTTTATTTGTACATTTTTGTTGATGTAGAAACAAACTCCTCATTTTTCTATTTCTGACAATCTGCACACCAATAAACATGCCCCCGGGTTCCAATTTTATCTTAAAATGTCTCGTTAACATTTTTATAATATTCTGTAACGCAGCAATGTCTCTACCTATCAGCAACCCATCATCTACAAATAAAGCCAGATAAATATTGTCCCTACTATTATTACAAGTCTATATTGACAATTCACTTTGACTTGTTTTGAAACTACACTGATTTAACACTTCCAAGAATTTCTTGTTCCAGCAATAAGAAGCTTGTTTAAGCCTATATATTGCTTTGTTCAACTTGCATATCATTGTTCTTCGGTCCACGCCCTGCTTCCATGTACAGTTCATCCTCGAGATCACCATAAAGAAACGCAGTCTTTATATCGAACTGCATGATTTCAAGGTTTTGATATGCTGCCACCGCCAGTAATATCCTCAGTACCTCATACTTGATAACTGGGGCAAAGGTTTCTTTGTGATATTTTCTTTCTCTTTGTTTATGTCCTCTAATACATAGTCTTGCTTTAAAACGCCTTATTTGTCTAGTTGAGTCCTCTTGAACTTTGAACACTTATTTGGTGTCAAAAAATCTACCCCTTTTTCTGGGGATGATACTTTAAGTATTGTTTTTGTGATGAGAATTAAGTTCTTCTTCGATGGCTTCTGCCCACTCATGTATGTAGCGGCCCTCGAGGGCTTCCTGAACATTATGCGATTCCAGTACCTCAGCAGTATTTGCTTCTATGAATCTTCTCGGCTTCTTTATACTTGGTCTATCCCTTAAATTGGGAATGTCATAAAGTGTTCACTGGATAGGTCTTTTCATTAATTTTCGGATTACCTCCCTTTGCTGTATCTGTTCCTGCTCTTCAGTTTCCATCCCTCTCTCTTCTTCTTGCACCTCTTCTACGTCCACCTGCTCTTGTTCTTGTTGCTGATCTTGATTTCCTTCTTCTTATTGGTGTTCTATCTCTGGTGTCTGGGATCGTATTTTCGCTTCTGCCGGGCTTGCTATCTTGATACTCAAATTCGTTTCTTGCTGTTGAATAAATTTTATGTTCCGACCAACTGTCACTTTTCTTGTTTCTTCATTAAATACTCTATAATTTTGTGTATCATCTTGATATTCTACAAGCATTATTTTCTGGCTCTTCGCGCCAAATTTCTTCCTGAATTGATTTGGAATACGCATGTATCTTACGGAACCGAATGGCTTCATGCGGGAAATATCCAGCTTGTGACCATGCCACAACTCGTAGCTTGTGACATTTCGACCCGCTCTCAAAGTCATGTTTAGTGCATAGACTGCCGTGTTTACAGCCTCCACCCACAAAAACTTCGGAAAATCTCGTGCACACAACATAGATCTTGCAGATTCCACCACCGTACGGTTCTCCCGTTCTATCCTGCCGTTTTGTTCAGGGCAGTAAGGTACAGAATTCCTCAGTTGAATTCCATGTACTCTCAGCAGATCCCGAAAGCCCTCGTTGCAAAACTCCTTGCCATTATCAATCCTTAGATACTTGACGCTTTTGTTGACTGCTTTTACCGGGTTAAGAAAGTCCTGGAACTTTACAGTCACGTCACTTTTGTACTTAAGAAAATATACAAACATATAGGATGATGCGTAGTCATGTTAATTTAAAATGTTAATTTTTTTTCAACTTCTCTTTGTGAATAAGAGCTTGTGAATCTCCTTCGCTGTGTTACATGTAAGAAGATTTTCCAATTGCTCGATTGTCAGAGCTGAGGATATTACAACCATGGCCTTCTCGTTCACCTTGTCCCATGCCTCTGATTCCTCGGATTTTTCTTCAGGATCAGGGCGGATTTCTTTTCCATTTACCACATCCTCTATTGCCACCACTCGTAACACCTGTTTTACTTAAAATTTCCAAATCTAGAAGTAGTTACTGTCAAACTTGATTGTGTTCTTGATACTAATTTCATCAGCCATTTTGTCACGAAAAATTTTTTCACCAGTCTTATAAAAAAAAACTTACACTGAGATTTTCACTGGGCCCATAACCTAATAAAGTATTTATATCGGTCAGGAGGACCCATGGAGTAGATTGGATTGGACAGTGGAATAAACGCAATCACTTTATGTATATGTATATACATGTCCAAATGATATATTACGTTTTTATTGTTTAAGCACAGATGTAGGTATACAGGTACGTCACCTTAGTCTAACATATATAGTACTTATTGTTACATCACGAGCAGCGTGTAGGACTCGGGACTCGCAGAGCTACTACTTCTATTTCCACCGAAAAGGGATCTTCCCACCTTGCAAATTCGACCCAACAATCACATGTACACACACACATACACAGAAGCACCCATGACAGTCTGGCACACGACAGGGCCAATCTCAAACATACACGCCTGAGTAGCCACACTCACTCACACGTATACATGAATATTTCCAACCCAACTCATGTGATAAGACTTTTAACAGATGTCAGCATTAAAATGATTAAAATCCCTTTAAAAATTACTCGTTAGGTACGTATTTTGCTACGCTTATTGTGATGTACGTGCGTTGCGTTATAGCCAATAAGATCGCGCCACCTGCGTGTAAGCAGGTAAGCTAAAATATGTTCACTGCAGGCAGTTCAATTCGTTGAGCAGGAAATTCAAATATTCGATTCCCATTAGCTGATTCCATCACATAACCTCTTTCATTAGTAAATTTTATACTTCTAGCTCAACGAATTAAACTGCCTCCTGTGTACCAAGCGAGTGAGCCAGTCGACGTGCAGACATGCTTGTGAGCACACGCGTCTCCTGAGCTTAGCGGATATACATTTCTACAAGCAATAAATTTAACTAGATCATACTCTGGGTTCGGGTCTCATTATGAACCACCTCGTGGGAATACGACAATTAGCGGCGAGGATAAAAACGACGAGTTGGGCTATAGACACGATGTAAGATAAGGTGGTAGGAAGTACCACCACCTCTGCCGAGTTACAATTTTGTAGCAGTACCAAGTTTTCCACCAGATGGATCAGTGTCGAAAAGGTAGTACATATATATAGAATGTATTCGTGTATATATATATA